GAGGATAGGGTGACCTAAAAGCAAGGCCAAATGGCATTTTGTTCTAAGGACAGGGCAAGAATTTCACAATAACTCAGTGTTTTCTAGTTCACTCATGTTTCTTCTCACGTGAAATTCTTCAGTAAAGATTTTCAAAAACAGAATTTGTGAGAAATAACTAATATTGAATTTCAACCTACTCAAGTCCTATAGGGCTGCCATAGAACAGCTTCTTTATTCAAAATGACTTCTAGACAAAATGTTTGGAACATGAAACACAGCCACTTCCCTCCTACCACATTTCACTCCTCTATTTCTTACTGCCAAAGTGACTTATGTCTTTATGTGTTTGATTACTCCATTTTTATTTTAAAAAGGAAAAACAAACAAACAAAAACCCTGCTATATATAATATACAAGGAGATGCCATGTGCATAAACAGTACCAAGACGATTCACCTCACCTGACATTAAGCTAGACACCAAATCTCAGGTAGGCATTTTCTCCTATAGAGAGTTTCTCAGAAGCTACGCTGGGTGAGAGGTATCGTATGAAGATCTATGAAAACCGAATTCAGCACGGAGAAGATAATTCATCCCACTTGTTAGACAGCCAAGGATGCAACGAGTCACACACTGGAGATAACCGACTCTCCCGCAGCTGACTACAGAAGAAATCCAGATGCCTAGCCTTTACACACTACATCTCATCCAGTTCAGAGCAGGATCACAGCTCTGTAGGGGTTTTTTTTGGCAGTGTACTACTGCTGACGGGAGAGGTTTTGATCATTTTACTGTGGGGCGCAGGGAGAACAAAAGCAACTAAATTTGTTTGGGTTGTGGAAAGCATAATGACACATTAGTGCTACTTCTTCTCCTCCTATCCCACTAGCTCCCTTCTCTGTCCATTCTCACCCAGGGTGGCTGGGTACACAGATGCATCTCTGCGGCTGAGTCAGTAAATATAATCAGGGATTTCTAGGACAGGCCAGATTGGAAACAGATTTCTTAGAAGCCTCCAATTTTAAAAGAATTGATCCTTCCTATTTTAAAATAATTAAACTTGCCAAAAATGCAAAATTTCTATGGAAAAACCTCGATGGCGTATCACACATAGTTTCAGGAAGTTCCAGCTCTAAATAAGGAAAGCAAAAGTGGCTTAAAGTTTACCTTACAAGGAGGTTCTGCCCTCAATCTTAACCATTACTGCTTCCTAATAGGCAGCTTTGTCTGGCTTAGGAGAAATGAGAATATTGCTTAAATGAAAATAATGTATTTAAGAAAGTAGGAGTTACATACGATTTTAACTTCTCTAAACTAAACCTTGCTAAAAAAGGAGTAGGAGTTGGTGGCTGATAAATCTGAACTTGAACAGTAAAACGTCCATAGGAAAGTTTTGTTCTTTGCCCCCTTCCATTTTCACAGACTAACAGGATGATCCTGAAAAACAGTTTTCTGGAAAACATTTCTAAAAAAAGTTTGCAAAAAGTTGCACAAGAGAAATTGCAGAGCCATAGTTCTTATTCCAGTACCTTCAGATGAGGAAAACAAGACTGACAGTTAGTGCTTTTTACGAGACTATCACAAAACTTACCCAAGGAAGCCCAGGAAGGTGCCTGCCAAATGTCATTGAGTTGCCAGTACAGAGCTCCCATTGTGCGTCCTTCTCCCTTGATTATTTCACTTTGACTAGAGCGATAGAATTCAGTTTCTGTCTTTACACACTGAGCCTGCATCACCTTAGTCAATAAACACATAAAAAAATATTTTTTTGGTTTATTGTATTTTGCATTTTACTTTACTTTCAGAGGATGTGTGTATATCTTAACATAGAACAAAAATGTCACAGCAATAGCACATAACTTTTAAATTTGAGCCTTTGAGAGAATTTGCCTGCAGTGCAGTGGGCTTCTGCTTGAAGGACATGTATTCTTAGCAGCTCCCTACAACTCTACAAGCAGTATCTTTGAAGAAACTCTGGAGGGGCTAGTTCCTGCCTTCCAGACAGTGAACATCACTGAGCAACAAGGTCTTTGAAAGGCAAATGGAGGACAAAGGAAAGAAAAATAAACTTAAAATAAATATTTAAAAAAAAAAAAAATTAAAAGAAGTTTCAAAGTGATGTTATGCTGCACTGCCTCCGGTCTACATTACCATGATGTCCACATTTTTATACTCTGAACATAAAACACACATTCCCCATATCTTCAAAATTGTGCACTGAAAGAGCAACATTTTTTCACCTGGACTCCTACTTCTTCTCTCCTTTCCCATCTTGTCTTTAAAAAAGATTTTACAGAATTTTTCATTGATCAAGTTCTCAGTAGAAGCCAAACAGCCTGTTATTTTTTTTCAAAAAGTCTATTACGAGGCTGGGAAGGTACTAAAAGAAAGTTTTGAAATAAAGGAAAAAAAGCTATTCCTTAAGACAGCTCAAAAGGTAAAGATAACACTTCTAGTTAACCACTAGAAGAGCCACGTTTACTCTCCTCATCCTTTTTGCTATCCTTATTTTCGTATTCTTAAGCTGTTTAACCTGTTAATAAGGCCCTGACTGACTTAACTCTGCAGAAACTCTCATAGCTTTTTGAGCCAGGACCTCACTGCACAAGTTTTACCCCTATTTCCAGTTTCACAGCATCATTTATCCTTGTTTTCTTGTCATCAGTGCCTAAAGTTCTCCAGCTGTTCTGTTTTTATATAAAACTTGCCAACAGCAGCTCTCAAGCATCAAAAACTTGGTGAACATGCACTTATTTCCATCAAGAGTGTTTCTGAAATTCTTGGAACACACCAAAAATTAACAGCACTTTAAAATTTGCCTAATAGCATTAAAAAGTTACTTAATATCATTTAAAAGTCTCAAAAATCATGAAAAAAAGAAACAAGCATGAGGTAAACTACTACAGATGAAGAGCAGAATATAACCTACTGATTTGGAAAAACAAACAAAACAAAAAAAACCAAAAATAAATTCTCTAGAATATCAATATCTGAGTCCAAAACAAATAAAAGCTATTGATAATCTCATTCATAGAGAACCGCATTCTCTAGAGACAAGATTGTTTCAAAAGCTTATGTATTCCTTGTGGTAAAAATCAAAGGAGCAAGCCTACAGGGACTACATGAAGAGCAAAACCTACTCACCCTGGAGCAGGGAGTAAGAGTGTAGTGCCTGGAATAATCCCACACCAAGGAAGGGCAGCACATGCCTGTGTTCCCAGCCAGCTGCATGAGTGGGCCCAGCTGGGGACAGGGCGCGAGGTAGCACATGCAGCCACACTTGCTCCCAATTGCGACAGTTTTGGGGAAATTCCCCAAGAAGTATCGCAGCCTTCTCTGATGACAGTTGGAGTCTCTCTCCAATAAACAAGAGACAAGCTAGTTCCAAATTAACCTGGACTTTCCGAGGCTACAGTGCAGCAACTTTCTCTGTGACTGACCATCGCCTAACAGAACAGGCCCAGTTTTAAACACTGATGGTATCTAATGGAACAAGGATTGGCAGCTGCTCATATCAAAGACATTAATGTTACCTGTGTGAGGTAAATCATATCTTTGAACTTCTTTATGGGATCTGTGCTCTGAGGAAGCTTGAAATGATAGCCAATCTGCCGGAGCATCTCATCGTTGCCATTTTCGTGGTGTTGTCGATGGAGAGAAAAATTGCTTGTGTAGGACCAGTCCTCAGTGGAGGAAACCTGTTAAAAGCCACAAAACTGAAAGACCGGAATGAAAAGGTAAAATGTGCATTTAATGACTGACACGATATTCGTGAAAGGATATCCATTACAGCCTGCTGACATACAAAGCCTTTAAAATTGGTAATACATTTCCTTAGTGCCTCATGCAGTCACGCAGAGATTTTTAATCAATAACATCCTTCACTTATACTCCTTGTACAAATAAATGAAAACGCAGAACAACTCTTGGCTTAATGGCATTTAACTTATTTGTCCTAAAGTTCAGTTTGGCCAAGGGACCTCAAAGGTTGGCTTGTATTCATAGCAAATGAGAAACACCCTAGATTAAGATGGAAGAACATACTCTAGTCAAACACATTTAAGCATAAAAGTTACAGAAGTTTGTAAGGCTATAAATTCTAATAATGTGTCTATTTTCAAAGCCTGCCTCAGAATACAAACAATTATGAACAAGTTTTTATTCAGCTAAGGACAACAATGTAGCATTGCTCATATAGTTATTATTGCCAAGTTTTCATTGTAACTACAATCTCTATAAAATCTTTTTATTTAAATTTGTTCCTTTTTAGGCTGGATTTAATAATTTTCATTGTTATTAATATGGATGAATGTACTGATATGTCTCAGATAATATACTTTGCCCAGAAAATTGAAAGGAGCATTCTGAACTCCTTTTAGCTGTGTGCATGACTATCAGCACGATATTCATAGCTCTCTGAACAAAAGGACAAACAGCATATGTCTCTGCTGCAACTGGCTAAATAAGATAAACTATATACTATTTAAATTTATCAGGAGACAAAACCAAACCTTCTTATATGCAATACATAAAGAAAAAACTCAGCATTTATCATGTTTCTTCTGTTTCTAAATAAACATATATCCTTAGATAAAGCAAAAGGAAGCTGACTTTAGGCAATATAAGCTATATATTTAATAGAATTACTGTTAAAATTAATACTCTCATAATAGCCTCTCATCTATATTTGGTTCCTCTTGCAACATCAAGGTTAATATATCGAACACTGAGGAGGAAAACAGCCCAGTTTCATCCCCTCCCTCCAAAACGGCACACACCCCTACCCCACCTGTGCCATGCCACACCTAACAATGCATCATCCCAACTACAGTCCAGATGCCATAATCTGTTGGGATTTGCCCTCACTAAATCAGAGCAGAGGGGACAGTAAGGTGTGGAAGCCCTGCCTTACCTTTTCGATTGTACTAAAGGAAGGCCAAGACTGAAATCCGTATTCTGAAGCAAAACGGCTTTTGGGATACACTGTCCAGTTCCAGCAGTCACTGCTGTAGTCATAGAAGTGAGTGTCACCATAATGGGTGTCATAAGGATTCTGTGAGAGCCAACCTTCTTTAACTGATTCCAAGCCATTGGAAGGACTGGATGCAATAAAAGGACGGCTCTTATCTTCCTGGGATTTAAAAACAAAAGAAAAAAACACAACCCTCTCACAAACTGATTAGCTTTTATTATCTGAATACATAGATCACATTTCGAAAAAGCGGAGGGAGGGAGGGGCAGGGAGAACATGCTTCTTCCAAATTTCTGAGTCACCACCTAGAAAACATTCCCCTTTATGTCCTAACATTCATCATTTTTTACTTGCTTAATTAGCTTCATATTTATGTTCTTGCAGGACAGCTGGGCATGATATTGCTTGCTCTGCTGTTCTAAGGGATTCTCTCCCACATCAAGAGACTTTCTATCTTTATATGGTTCTAAATTCTTAATGAAAGCTATTGAAAGTGTACCTCGTGAAAAAAATAATCTCAGGGAATATTAATATTTGAGTACTGTGACTTCTTTATGGAAAATCATTACTTTTGCAGTGTTTCTGCAGGAACAAGGCCATGATTTTCCCCTTTCTTATTAAGTAGTCACCTAAATTAAGTCGTAAGAAAGCCAAGGTATTCTGCTACTGGTAGCATCGCAGGTTATTGTCATTTTGGCTGGCTCTGCATGTTAAGATAGATGAGATTAGAAGAAGAGTTACATTTCAAATTGTTCAGGTCTTCCTTTATTTCTAGCCTCAGTAGATTTAGTGTACTAAATCTTTTAGCAGTATACTACAAAGTACTGAAGAAATCCTTCTGCAGGTATAATTCTTTTAGCACCCTAGTCTAGTAAGACAGAGGCCTGAGTTACTTATCAGTTATGAGTTACAGGAACTGGCTCCACTAGAGCAAAGCCCTTAGACATGTGCTTGATTTTAAGAAACAGTCCCACTTTGTCTTTTTTTTCTTTTTTAACATGAGTAATTAATAGTTAACTATATCTTGGATTCCCTGAAGTCTCCAACTCAAACTTACAAGTCTTTTTAAGTTATACAGTCCAGTACTGCTACTAATTACAGGTTTCCTCAGCTGTCTTATATTACACAGGATTTGAAATTAATTCACTGTATAGTTCCTTCTAGCACTCAAAATAGTTATTCTAAGGGTTTAAAAAAGAGGGTCCATCCTGAACCTATACAAGTGAACTGTAACCAAAAAACAGTATCAAGCCAGAACAACTCACTTTGCTGCACATGTCCTGGCAAGGCAACTCACGGAGCTAACCACAGAAACACCACAGCATACCTTTACAAACTAGTCAGTTCCAGAAAAAAAATGAAATACAGAAATCTAAATCAAAATCTTAAGCAGGATTTTTTTAATGTAAGACACAATTACCCCTGAGAATACGTAACTGTCCTCAAGAGTAGGATTGTTTTCAGCAAGTTCTTTCAAACCTGTCCTCACTGTTTCCTCGTACCTCAATTTTTCCAGTAGAAAGGTATTATAAATTCTCAGAGTACAACTACTTTGATGATGCCAGTTAGCTTCCAATAACAAGCAATACTGCTGTCACTTACACGTTGAATGCCTGTCTTAGCAAAGGGAAACCTAAGCTCATAAGCTTCGTAACGTGAAATGTAACTCATCCTGAAAAGGATAGAGAAATTAGACTAAAGTTATTACACCCTGAAGTCAATAAGATCATGCTATACAAAGGATAACTTTAAAGGGCACTAGCATTTTAGGTTAACAAAAGCACTCTTGTTGGAGATGGAATTTTTAAGTGGACAAAACACTTGCCATATTTTGTCTCTTAGCTAACAGGGGAGTTTAGAATACACATCCGTGGTTCAAGTATTGTTTGTTAACCCCTATACATATATGTTTTATATATATATATGTATATACACACAGTTAGGCAACATCAGTTTGGGACTTCTAAATCAATTTCAATCAATCAAACATATAAAGCAGATTCCATCAAATTGCGAAGAACTGCAGTACTTCTAGGATGTGAAATAAAACTGAAAAAGGTGTGCAAAATGCGCCAAATCACAGCAGACTTCATCATGGATTCTAGGTGCTTCTCATCTGCATGCTATTAAAAAGCCTGAGGGTTGTTAAACCCTTCTTATAGTATCCTTGAACAAAATCAGGAGAAAGGAAATACGGAATCATAGAATTGCCAGGTTTGGAAGGAACCTTAAAGATCATCTAGTTCCAACCCCCCTGCCATGGGCAGGGACATCCCCCACTAGATCAGGCTGCTCAGAGCCCCATCCAGCCTGGCCTTAAAAACTTCCAGGGATGTGGCTTCCACCACCTCTCTAGGCAACCTGTGCCAGTGTCTCACCACCCTCATGGTGAAGAATGATCATCTAGATTAATTAATAATGGGCAAGCTGATTTTTGTTCACTGAAAGCAAAGGCATTTGTGGAGGTATCAAAAATAAGAAGCAAAAAAGAAGAGAGATCCACTACATTTTCAGGTCTTCCTTTACATATGACAAAGAGTTAAAGACTGAAGTAATTTTTTTTGTTTGTTTTACTTTGAGGATATCCCTCAAAGTTTAGAGAGCTGTCTATACAAGAACTTGGAAAGTTCAACTCCTCAGTAATGTGCTGGGTTTCATTTCCCAAAAGGATTAAAAAAGAAATCCCAAGTTGCTCATATTGCAAATATTAAACATTTTGCCAAGCCATATCTCCTGTAGTTTCTTGAGATCACTTACCTTAAGAACTATTTCTCGGATGTTCTTCACGTAAAGCATCACGTAGTCTTTGATATAGACTTCTCTGTCAGCATAAGGTATGGAGAACCAGTTGCTTGCAATTGCTGCTTCATTTTCATTGTTACCACTCCAGAGAATAATTGATGGATGGGATTTTAAACGCCTTACCTGAAATGCAACTTACAGTTTCGGAAGTCAGGCAAAATTACTTCTCTTAAAAAAAAAATAAAATCAGTAAGATCACTTTATTACCACTGGAATTACAAATCCACACACATTTTACAGACACTAAGACTACAATTTATGGGTTTATCCATACTGTTTACTGTTCCCTCAGCTTTCCACCAGGCTCAAACTTGTGTAATATACACTTAAAGAGGGAAAAACTTTTAATATGTTGACATATATCCACTATATGCACATGTGTAACTCCACTATCATCTACTCAACCACATGTGAAAGGTAAATTCTGTACTAAGGCACACTGTAATCATTAGAGCTCACCCTCAGGGAATGCTCTGAAACATCCTAGAGAAGATGGCAGTTTGGACCTGGGGAAGGCTTTTACAGCTGCATGACTGATTACGCCTACAAGTGAGCTAAAGAGGACTTAGTAGGGTTAGATTTTGCATCTCTACATAAAGGTACACTAACAAACACTTCCAAATAAGAACTTTTGTAAAGCCGGCTTATACAGTCAGTCAATAAAACACATAGGTAATGGGAAATAGAGCTTTGACGCATGGACAAAATACCTGATGAGAAACTTCTGCCCTTACAGATTCTAAGTAATTCTGGTCAGTTGGATATAGGGCACATGCAAACATAAAATCTTGCCAAATCTACAGGGAAAAGGAAAGAAAGTACAAAAAAAAAATCTGTTAGTAAATCATTTTACATACTTGAAAAATATATCCTTATTGCGATGCGCAATCCTTTGTTCTTACAGAAGCTATTTGTATCAAAAAGAATTAAACTGAAATGTTCTATCTGTTATTCTTGGCAAGTACCACCAAAACAATCACATCCTCCATGCAGTTCAGTATGTGCATACTCTACCGTGGTTTTCCTCAATATCAGAGTTACAAAATATTTACCCTTAGGAATCAGATCCTGACAGCCTCCACGGATATGGGGAGTATCACTCAGTAGATGGAGTTCAGTAAGTTTCAGTTGAATAATTAGAACTCATCCACTGCTCAAATATGAATGTGGGCAATCTCCAGCTAAACAAAAAATTTTTGTATTTACTACTTTGCAGGTGCAACACCAAATACCCATTACTTATTTAAAAGCCTTGGTAATTCTTACGACACTGTATCAAGCACGCTTAACAGATGTTCAAGTGTACTTGTTAACAAAATACTTTCATACCAAACGCACAAACTAATCTTAAAAAGAGTAAATCTTACCCAGTGAAAGAGTCAGAAACAAATCAGATCCTTTAACAACACATCTTTCTTCCAAATAAAGATCAAGTAGATACCACTAGAGAACAGCAAGTTTTTCAGCAATGAACTCCATTTGTACCTTGAAGAAGGTACATTTATTACAAAGACTTCTTGTTTTACCTGTTCTGTTTTTTAACTTGCTGTTACTCTGAGACGTCCGATAGCCTATTATAAACATTAATGGAAAGATCCCTTGAAGGAGCACATAAACCCAAAGGAGACTGTAGGAGACTACAGTGAGGACCATACTGCCTAAACAATAGAGACAGACCAGCTCCCCATATATTTCTGCAGCTAGAACATGCTTTTCCATTACTCTTTTCAGCATACACTCCCTAAGAAAACCGAAGATAGGAAACAGGACAGTGGGAGGTAACAGATCTATTAATAATTGCTACACTTCTAGCACTGCAGAAAAAAAGGCAAAGCTATTACTAAAGAATCACTTAGAATCCTTCCATAACTGTGTAGTCAAACTACTCTTCCTATCTCCCTCAGAGAGCTATCACTGTTTTTCCTGAAGCACAGTTTGAGTCTAATGCACTTTTAAGCCTTTGTAAGAGCATCAGAAGAAACAAAACCAAAAGCCTGAAGTGTCACCCCTTCCAAAATAAGGGTCTGATTTTCTGCATCTACTTACTACTTTGGCTGCTAAATCTTGCATTGAGCACTGTACAGGCACAGATCTAAGTGGCCTACTTAGGTGCTTGGTGTCAAAAATTAAAGAACTGTAAGTGCTCAGAAGCCCTGGAAATCAGGACACTCATTCAGACAACTAAAATAGATATAAGGGGGTTGTTTTTTTTTTTCAAGCACACACAGCAGAAGGCAGCAAGATATCAATTCTGTTTCCCTGCTTTTTATGCTGTGGATTAAGACCAAACACATTTCTTGGAATTTTAATGCCAGATGCAACTTGGCCTTCACTCATCTAGTCACTATTTCATCAAAACTTATTAACAAGTGCCTCCAAGACCATATAATCAAAGGTATTCATCTAGGATTATCAGTGTTTGCAGCAGGTGTTCCCCTTATAGCTACGCTTACGTTCAATTATAGCTTGTTCAAAGTTGTCCTTGGATAAGACCTTCCATGCTTGGCTTCAGGCCAAGTGAAATACTCAGAGGTGGCTGAAAGCACAAAACCCAAATACCGTAGGCTTTAAATAAACTCAAGCACTCAGATTGGTCAGCAGGGCTATTGTCACACGAGTAAGCCCTCAACACAGCTACAGGGCGCCACAGTCTGGGTTGCTGCAGAAGAAATACTATTTGATCTTGTGACTAAACCCCCTCCCATGCACTGCTTGTTTCACGACTATTTGACTGAGTGTTGCAAGTCCCTGTTGATGCCTACAGTCCACAAAAGTTCTTCTGTCATGCTCATCATTACAGTGTAAACATCTTCTTCCTGCTCTAAGTGACATCAGTAGTACCAGTCCCTCAGCTGTTTGTTTCTTTTCTCATTTTTTCTCAAGAAACTAGGAAATGTAGAACTGGGAGAGAGGTAACAGAGTTTTAGTCAGAGAAAAAGTTAAAGCCACAGTTCTGATGCTCTGATTTTGGGAAACGTGAGAGAGGGGAGAAGAAAAGACAGTAGAGAGAAAACGAGGGGGAAATGAAGGGTAGATTCGGGGCTGGAAGAAAAGCGGGAATGCGTGAGCAACAGAGCTGTAGCCCTAGTTACAAGAGAAAATAAAAGCTGGGGTCCTAATACAAAGTCTCCAAAATATCACTTGCAGTTTCAACAGACAACCTCAGTAACCAAGAACCATTCAAATTAAAAATAAATTTTAAAAAAAAAAAAATTATTGGTCTGACTTGTCATGTTGGTATTTTACCATGTCCTTTGGAAATATGGCTGTAACTTATGTACTAATTCTCTTATTTTGTTCATGCAGAGTGCTTTTTTATTTAAAAGTTCTTGTCAGTTTTTAAACAAGTGTTCTTTTTATTGTTTTTACCATAATTCCCATTTCATCGCAAATATCGTAAAATTCATCTTGTTCATATACTCCTCCTCCCCAAACTCGAAGTGCATTCATGTTAGCATCTGCTGCAGATTTCAAGAGTAGCCATAATCTGTCAAATACAAAAAAGATGACTTATACAAGTTATGAAACTGTATCACTTAAAGAGTTTCCAGTGTTGTACCAAGAAAACCCCCAAATCCTCCCCAAACATTCATCAGCAGCAATCTAAGATTTATAACTCTTAAAGAAATCAGACCATTTTGATACTTTCTAAGCCTGCATGTCTGGATAGAGCTCTCCAAGCATTTTTTTTAATGCAGAAAAAGTTACTTGGTCCTGTTAACACCTATGAAATAAATGGAGTGACACATGCAAGTAAGTGCTTTTATAGAATTATTGGCAGGACCAGATTTAGAAATACTATATTTTATTAATCATGTTGTTTTCCTCCCTTCTCCTACTTGTTTTAAATATCAATTACTTGAATTCAAATCCTCTTTTAAACACATTCAAAAGCCTATATTCTCCTTCTGAGTTCCACAACGCATAGCGAGAATTGGCAAGTGAAGGAGAAGGAGAAAGACCGAAACTCTGAATCTCTTTTGAAAGGATTCAGGCTCTGTTAATCTTTCTTTAATCATGCTGGCAGTCTCTAAATTGCATGTGAATGCACACTGCAGCGTGGCCTGTTGTTCTGCTACGCAGAGCAAAGCTTAATTAAAGTATGGCATGGTCCCCATACCACCTGTATCTCTGGGGTGCTATGTCATCAAAATTCAAGAAGCCTGTACCAGAGAGGGAAAAAGGGAGAGAGGCTACTATGCACTGATGTCTCTCTGCCTGAGATGGGTTAGGATATGGCTGAAGTGCACTTCCTGTAAGTATCCACACCATTTCTCAGGCAACAGGATCAGACAGCCTGAAGATCATCTCTGAAAATATCTGAATTGCCAGTAACCTGTGGACAGCGAACAACCACCTCCCCATCAGTTATTACACTTACATACCTTGAACATCACTCAAATCTAGTAGTGCTAATTAAGCCCTAATTCTAAGCCTCCAACCCACAACAATTATTGTCCTACCTTGAAAGGAGTTCCGCTCCTAATGCCACCCTTTGGTAGAGAGCAGACAGAGAATCAGGAGGAGGAAAACGTGATCCTTTGAGGACATCAAAGGTGACTTACGTGTCATAGGTCACTCTGTCCTGGAAAGAATCTGCTGGAATCCAGTTTGAGCCCTTAATGAAAATGGGTCGGCCATTGATTCTGAAGTAGAAACTCAGACCTGGTGAGCCAAGAATAGGCTCCTGAACAAGTTCTACTGTACGGAAATAGGCCTGTGGAGACATTTAAAGAAGACAATAAACTTTAAAAAAATAAAGAAAACCATTACAAAAGGGATTCAACTGAACACTGACAGCTTAGAATTTGTCAAGGAATCAAAAGACAAAGTCTCACCTCTAAAGCCCTGTTTGATTAAAACACACTGCAACAGGGCTAAAAAGAATCCTTCTGCTAAACCTGTTCGCTTTTTGAAGTAACTTTCATATTAAGAGATATAGAAAGCATGGGCACTGAGAGGAATGTAGAGGCTGCATTAGATGAGACACAACACTTAATCTGCAGTTTTCTCACTATAGAAGGTTGCTGCAGCTCAACTGTAAATCTTGTCCGCGAATCCTTAGCTTCAGGCTCATCTGGTAAAAGGAAAATCTCCTGCTGCTCTGAAATGATACCTTTTGAATAGGTGCAGCAATTAAAGAGAAAAAAACACACATCTAAATGTCAGTTTGGAAATGCAGGGCCCTCTGGTCACCACAGCTGTATTTGAACAGCATGATCAGCACTAAGGCTTCAGAGAGATCAGTTCAGTTAAGTAACAACTAACTGCGTAAGGTATTAAAGGTCATTCCAGACAAAAAGCACATCTCAAGCAGACACCAAACTTTCACAGCTGCTCTAATATCTAGTATTGTGTACGGCAGACACTGAAACAAGAAAACATTCCTCCTTCCTACTGCAGGTGGAAAAGAAGTACTCAAGAAATAATTCTGGACATTTTCTGGGACTTCACTCAAATCCACAAACAATGCTGCTTTGAGGGGTATCCTGATTGCACTAATATAAACACAGTCAATTCAGCACTAACATAAACACAGTCAATTCCAGAATCACGAGAGAGCAGTTAGGTGACTGCAATAATGCTTTGCACTGAGGTTTCTTCCTCACCTGGAGTCAGGCTCCTGCACAGTGGCAAACTGCTTTCAGGGAAGCTTTAGACTTTTTTTTTTCCTCCTGCATCTTTGTTCTAGTTCAACTTATCTAGGCCAGGAAGAAAACTTTTTGGTACCTGTCGCTCACTGTCATAAGAAAATTAAATAAAATGAAGGAAAGCTAATAGCATATTTCAGTCAACTCAACCAAGCAACAAGTTTGGGTCAGGAAGGCAGGAGGAACCTCATTCTTTCTATACTACCCCAAGATAGCAATCACCCCTCCCTCAGATGACTATTTGCCATATCTTTTCCAAAGGTCAGCTTGTAGAGTACAGCCTGTTCTCTCTCTGCCACAAGCTACAGTTGAGACAAATATCTGTCAATAAATCAGGCTAAAATTAACCTAGTTAAGGGCAAGTGATGTACCTGTTTTTAAGTCAAACTGTATTTCACACATTAGACAAGGCTGAAGTTCAAATGGGAAATGACTAATGCTACTGTGGGACTGTGTTTTTTAAACTTTCAGCTTACCAAAAATCATACAGAAAATTATTTCTAGTGGTAGAGAAGACAAAGAAAATCACTGCTTTTTTTGCCTCCTCTTCAGTGCTTCATAGTCACCTGGACAATTATTAATTAAACACCTGGAGAGAGACAATGCACATGACAAACTCGAATGCACGTGACAAACATGATCCACTAGAGCGGAGGCTGCAGATCACTGACCTCAAACTAAACCTCTCTGCATCATGGCAATGACCAAAACACAGAAACAGAATGAATAAAAAAAATGGGACTTGCCCCAAGTCCTGCAGTGTTTTAGTGTTGCCCCAGGGGCAATAGAAGCTTAGTGCCAACTGGGACTCAGCATCTGTACACACCACTAAAGAAATTCCCAGCTAGAGAAAAACTGATCACTGAGAGGACATTTCAGACTCCCTGTCCAGTCTCTCTGTGCACATACATGTGCTGAGGACAGCTGCCCCACCTTTTTTCTACTCTGATCCCACTGCACACTTGAATACAGATCAACATGATGAATTTAGCTTTAAGACAAGAGTCTTACACCCGCCCCTACAATTCTGCAGCTTTATTTTAAAGTGAAAAGTTTAATTAAAATTAAAAAAAAAAAACAAAAAACCAAACCAATATTTCATACAACTTGCATGGTTACATTCACTACCAAAGGCTACGAAAGAAAAAACTATGAGTACTACACTAGTGAAAAAGTTCTGATCTTCCTCCTGTGATTTCAATTACTTGAAGAAAGACTCCTCAATCTCCAGCGTAGCTCTTTTTTGTGGCACGTAATGGAACAGGATTTACAGTCGGGGCTCCCAAAATATTTGGGAGGTCTACTTAATGGATGTCATCAGGCAGGTTGGAACTGTCTCAGAGTGCATTTGTAATGAAGTATTTATACTAGTAACAGAAATTAGTAACAGAAAACAGCTTTATCCATGCTCAAGTGGAACTTGTGCAACTGGCCAAATTCAAGGCAATCTGAGAGGCTGAAACACCCAGCGAGGATCACCCATAGAGCAGAAGCAAGAGGAAAAGCCCCTCAGCCCCATCTCAGGTTGCCAGGCCTCCAGAGTTTCATGCCTTTGTGTTCCCTCTCCATTGCCCCCCAGGGGCCCACTTGGTAATGCAGCACCTCTTCCTGTTCTACAGCAGCTTCCTTTTGCCTTTTGAGCTAAAAGAAGGGTAAGAGGATAAAATTAGCATCTGGCAGGCTTGGTTACGTGCCTTTCTGTCTCCTGAAAGCTTGGCCACCTTGAAATCTGTCTGCTAGACCTTGCTGCCTCTCCCAGTCTTGGAGCACACTTACAGTCTTTAGCCACTACAGACCAATCAGCTGGTTCATTGCACAATTAAGAAACAGATACCTGCCTTTTTAAGACACATACAAAGGCTTTGCACCCAGTTAAGGGACCAGTGGATCCCATTTGGCATTCCCAGATTTAGCAGTAGGAAAAGTAACAGGGATGAAGATGCCTAGAGCTGAAATAAGATCACAGAACGCGCCAGTGACCTAACAAATTAGCACACAGCATGAAAGCAGTGTGAAAACTAAAAAAGGCAAAAGAAAAGACTTCTGGAAGTCACGCTAAAAGACCGGGGGGGGGGGGGGAGGGGGTTTAGGAAGGAGGGAAGGATAGCTAGAGGTTAAGATCTTCCAAGTATTAAAACTGCCTCATGAAATAAAAACCTCTGATTACAGTGTTGGAGAAATAAGCTTACATAAAGATGGGGAAACAGAATCAAAAAGCAAGCAAATGCCTCACGAGGCAATGAAAGAAGTAATGAATTCCCTGAGGTAGGCATGGCAAGAAACAAAGCAACTTATAGCAAACAGGACTGGATGGATCCTCTCTCACGAAAACAACTTCATTCGGAGATAAATTTCTTGCTATGACTTTGTTTAACATTATCCTGTGAAACAAACTCTAAAGCAAAGTACTCAAATACAAAAACAAAACCAACCACCCTCATCCAGGGATGCTGGCTTTATTCCATGTTGGTTTTCTGCTCCTTTCCACAGGAGAGAGTAAGTACTTTCCTCAGCCAAAGACTTTCCCAGCACAGCTGGCTATAAAGCTTTACAGAGCTCCCACAAGTACATACTGGGAGGCGACACAGAAATTTTCCCGAAGGGTTAATTAATGTTGCAGAGACTAACATGCCAGAAAACAGACAGTAGCCAAATCTGACACAAGACCAAGCTAAGTTTTCTCACATATACATTTCTCACTCTTTAGTTTGTCCTGTCCAAAGTTATATAGATACTTACGTGGAGACAAACCACCTGTGAAATGTCTCATCCTCTTTTTTTTCTCTTTTGAAAAAGAAAGGTGGGAAACATATTACACCTGGATACAGTACTAGGTCGGTAATAGAACTGACAAGAGAACAACAACTTTCAGGAACATTTATCCCTGATAGTATCTCCTAAACTACTCAAAGTTCTTATTAAGCCATACAAATGTTGCTATTCAGTCGTGCTGACATGAGATCAAATTGTGCTAGAACATGAAAAAACTGCACACGGAGCCTTTTTCCACTGGTACAGCTCAGGGCAGGGGGAGGTGGTGTCTGTCTGCCTGTCAGAATTCAAGACTGAGTTTCACAGAACACAGGAAGGAAGACTAGACTTCACACTATGAATCTGTAAAGGCTTTGTATGCTGGTTAATTTATAATGTCCACTATGTGGTGCATACACTTTTTTTCCTCCTTCTTTCCCCTTAAGGAGAGATTAAAAAAAAAAAGAGGCTTCTGAATATCTTTTGTAGACCATGAAGTCCCTATGATCATAGGCCACAGGACTCTACAAAATATCCTGACACAACTACTCAAGTGGAATCAATTAGTTTTCTTATCATTGTGCGGTTTTCACACAGGAACAACAAAATTTTCCTTTTTACAGGCTTTATACCCACACTTCCTACAACCAATTTTTCCAAGCATAAGATGCTTTGTTTATTTGCTGGGGTTTTTTAATCGTCTCAAAATTAAATCGCTATTAATAACAAAGAATAATTATTACTAAGGGCTAACCTTATAACAGCTAGGGTTCCAGAAGCTACCACTTTCCCTAGGATTCTTCACATGAATATATGTTACAGCAAATAGCAGTTTTAGATGCCTAGTGACCAGATTAGTTTTTAGTAAAGCAAAACAGATCAGAACCTTTTAATAAACATTTGCTTGGTTGCTTCCACATTTTGTTGGCATAAGGAGCCTAGTTTAATTTATATGACTTTTTTTTTCAACAGACAATTGAAAATTACCTCTTCTAGGCTTCTTAGTTAAAAAAAAAGCCTAAACAACAGAAAAGTACACAGTCAGTGTGTTGCACGAACCCTTATGCAAATATCCCTGAATATTACTTTTGTGGTCATATATAGGATGTCACCTCTTCTTAAAGCTGAAGCACATCAATCATATTCTAATAAACGAATGTATGTTAGCATTTTAGGATCGTATCTATCCCACAATTTTTTAAAAAAATGACTTAACAAGAAAAATTTTAGCAATAAACCTTCACATAACCTAAAGAAATTTAAAAGTGGTTTTCAGTACATGATACAAAAAAATTACCATAATATCAACATTACAAGTGGTTTATCTTTTTCATAAGATAGAAAACCTAAGAAGTAAACATATATTCTTTCCTGAGGTTTTTAGCTAACTATAAGCTGTCTTCCAGTCTGAATGCAAGTAAAGGTGTCCATGCAAGCTAGGGCTACCAGAAAACACATTGTGACATTAAAAAACCCTCTTACTTCTCATTAGCATTTTCACATACATATTACAATCCAGCAAAATATTTAAGAGCTCTAGAAACTTGCTACGCTGACAGATGTCCTAACAGTAGCAGTGCAGCTGTAACCAAGCTGAAGGGCTCACCTTTGAAATTTTCTCAATCTGGTATCCTCCCTCCATGACGAAAGTTGTTGTCACGTTGTATCCAGTTTGCTTTCCATGTCCATTTGGCCACCAAGCCTCCACCATAGAAGTCTTGAAGGTACAAGACAAAAAGTCAGAGCAATGGTTATAAAAACAGGCATAACATGCACCTAGGGGCTCAGATATCTTTGAGCAAATTACCACAAGGCTCACGAGTTTCTGTGCCTCAGCTGAGCCATGGTAACTGGGATCTCTCCAGCTGCAGCTCTGAAATGAAAATTACTTAAAGAGAGAAGTACGATTTCTTCCACTGAAGCTCAGGCTATCACTTCATCTTGTGTCTACAGCAGCATGCATACACATGCATGCACACATCTAGTTGCTACTCCTCAGCTGAGGTACATTGGCAGACTATCTCACCCAATTTCAAATGTCTGCATCAGGAGCATACACTGTTCACTTGCCTCTGTATCATATCCCTCCTCTCACTGACCCTTTTACCTATCACACACTACATTCAGTGTACAGAAGTAACACCATTCAATTGTGACTCTGATAATATGTGACTATACTGACTGTGTCACTCAGGTCAAGCTTTTAAGCCAAATTATAAGTTTCATTCTTTCTTTTCAGTGTTTTCTGCTTTTTCTCTATGTTTCCTAATCATGTCACTAGTACTCCATAATTTTTACAAACATAAAAACCCTCCTCCTAGGATGACAGAACAATTTAATTTTCTCATTTTTCTAGTCATATAGTAATATTCATATCTCCCTTCCAGCAGCCTACTTCTGCTGCTCAATCCTATTGCCAACATTTGCCAGCTGAATGCACAACACAAAAATCGTGGAAAGAAAGCAATAATGCATGGCAGCCAAACAATGGAGGGATCAGCACCGAACAGAGTCATGTAAGGAGTGCCTCGATCTTTTCAAATAAAATGAGGCCAGAGAGTGGCCCAACAACATGTTTTGCTGTAGCCATACTTGGACACAATCACAGATGTATCTACTAACATTTCAGCTTCTCCGATAGGGAATGATCACAGCTGCTCATGCAGAAGTACTAATCTCTCTGTTGCACAGATACAAACGGAAGCACAAAATCGCGTGTGCCTCAACAACAAGGGAGTGTTCGCAGCCACCTGGCGCGGCTGGAGTGTTTCATTGGCCACTAATGATGTCATCCCCATGTTCACCATTAGCTGATAAGCAAAAAGCTGTCATGTTCACAACACAGCACTTTGTGTGGCAATTGCAGGAAGACTGCTCCACATCTCGGGTGATAACGCACCACTCACACACCTTACTGACTTTGCAACAGAATCTGCAATAAACTCTCAACCAGAAATAAATCTCTGATGCGGTCTCACTATTTAACATGCACCACACAAGCCTGTTGTACAGAGTAAGGGCTCTGTTAGGCTCATTGATACGTGAGAACACATTGCAGGGCTTCTTGTGAAATCAGCTGATGTGAATTCATGCAGTAAAGCCTTTTGTGTACAAGGAATAATAAAACACTGTTGCCTCTGCTCTGAAGGAAGTGCTTCCTCACAACCTTGCAGTCATACTCCACTAAGAGATTTCTTCTGAGGTTGAGGGTGGAGCAATTAAAAAAAATAATCCTTTCTGAAGTTCCACATTGCAGTGCCTGCTCAATGTAGTCACTGAAAAGGTTAAGCAAAGGCTACTGATCGTTTTAAATGTAACTGGGTATGCGTAACTGCTCATGCAACTTGCATGTCAGATGACAAACAGTTAAAAAAATCATACAGTTTATATGCTTTTATGCTTTTGTATAAAAATAAAACAAGCACATAAATATGTAGGTCACTGAGTGTGCATACTACAACATAGTCTGTGTGTCTTTAAAACATGCTTTTTCTCCACTCTGAGAGAGCTTGAGAATACACACATAATGCATTAAAACTGGCGAAAAAAATGCAGAGTTACACAGCAATAGTAGAGTAATAGTAGATCCAGTAAAATATACAAAGGTGTGAGGACAGACCCTCAAACGTTATTAACCACCTGAACTGTCAGAAGCCCCAAATTCCTGCTCACAGCACGTTGCTCACCCACAAATCTAACTGTGCCCTGTGGCAGTGAGGCCAGGGGAGCAGCAGCTCCCCTTATGCTGTTGGCTCCCGCCCAGAACAGCATCAGCTGCGGCTGCCACTGCGCTTACCAGGGGGGCCGCCTCCCACTGCGCTTCCCAGGGCTGCCCCCCTGCCCAGTGGCCTGAGCCTGCCGCTGTCAGGTTCGGTTCTGCAGTCAACTCTATCAGAGCCCTGTCCTCCGAGCAAGAAGCCAGGACAGTTCATGCTTCTTTTTGCCATGCTGGGCTCACTGCCTAATTCAAGACACTTACCTATTTGTCAGCTAGAACAGACACACTGATTTTCTTCGCCTCTCAAACCTATATATATTTTCTTAATTACACCTCTGTGTAAAACAAAATCCTACAAACAAAACAAACTCTACAGAAATTAAATAATGGTGAATTAAGTCTGCCTCCTGATAGTTTCCTGCACACCTTCTGAAGGTAAGCACATCTATTCTTTCCTCTTTCATCAATGAGGTGTATACCTAATTAATTGAGTTTTATCCTCATTCGAGCATCCTTTACCTCTCCCAAATTTCTTTTTTGTATGCCCAAGGGGCTACAAGCCAATGTAAGGAAGTACTACAAAATTTCCACCAACCTTACTGCCAGACAAGTTCTTCATAGGGCTCTTTCGCTTTTATTTACCTGAAAGAGTATCTACTGAGAGGTTTGAGGAATGTTTCCTTTCTTTCCTGGGAGAACCATGCATATTGTAGTACATTCCAGTCCCAATCAGTCCAGTAAACAATAGCATGGGAGACAAGATACCTACTGTCAGGTAAGTGAAGTGACGGCAGGATATCCAAAGGTTATCTACCTAAATAGCTCATTTAACAGTGGCTGGTGATGATGTGATCTTTTCGTTTTGCAGAAAGGGAAAGGCTTTACCATCTTTTTGACACGGAGCTACATTGCCACAAGGCTCAGACATCAATTTTTAGTGAGCAAAAGCACCATTCTCCTATTCTGTAAGGAGTACAGAACTGCTGTTGAAGTCAGGAGCACAGTAAGGAATGGGAGGGAGGCCTAAAACTGGCATGGAAGCAGAAAGACACATTGGAAAGCAGGGGAAATATTTTGCAGTTGGCTAGGGTTCCACACACACCTTACCTTGTTGATGTTTACAAGCAGCACAACGCTGCCTTCTCCAGGTTGGAGCTCCACACTGAATATTTGCCACGTTTGCAGTTTGGGAATGTTCACAGTCACAAGACCCACAATTGGCTTGGAGCTGACTACATCAAAAATAGATTCGATTTCAAGACTCCACTGCTGAGCACTCTGTACTGAAGGGGGAGAAAAAATGGGAATTTAGCAACTGTGTTTATATGCCTATTAGATAACATGATCTCTCGTCAAAGAAACAACTCAAACATCTCAGATTAAATTTAACAATTTCCAGGCTGTGTTGAAACCAGACCTACAAGGTTAATCTTATTTATTGCATTTGATTTCTGTGTTTACATTTGCTGACACAATATGATGTATAATTTTTAACTCTCTTTTTTTCATTCAAAAGCCATCCAGGTTTTTTTCAGAGCTCTGTACAAAAGTCAGAGACCACGACACCAGTCACTTCATTAGGAAGGATATTTTTTTTCCCACCAACTCCCATAGGCATTATATTTGCTTTTAGTCAGCACTCATATGAACACGGTACTCTTTGGGAAAGATCGTAATCACAAGGCAGTACAATCACTTTTGTTGATGAAACAAAAACAGTATTAACAGAAAACGAACTGAATTCATCCCAGAGTCACTAGACAAAATGAATGGAGTTATGCTGGGGATGAATTGGGCCCATTGTGTCTAGACTTGACGGGATGTATCCTTATGTCCCTTCTGCCTCTGAAGTGTGGTGGAGGAAACGAGTTAATGACTTCCCTGAGATCTCTCTACAGTAACCTCATACAGTCCTCTCCTTAACAGAATTTATTGAATAAGGCAAACCAGGGTCAAGGGTACTCAAGATTCATGTGTAAATTTCCCATTAATTTCAGCAATTAAATTACCTATCTACAAACACAGCCTGGCTAATCCTCCAAATATTACAGATCAACATCTAAGCAAAAGCAAATAAAACAGAAAACAAGGAAAACTAGAGCTAAGTCACATTTTGTACGCAGAAACTGCCTATCACTTATTTTCTCTTTTCATGTTCGTATTCTAGTTCTTCTTCCATGAGAGAAAGAGAGCTCCCTCCCAACACAGAGAATTCCATTGACCAGCCCCGGTGTGATTTTCACTGTCTGCTGTAGAACAAAGAGCAATGAATGTGTTCCCAAGTTTATATTACACAAGCATTGCCCAGGGAAGACCAATTTTTATAAATGTTGAAGTGGTTCAGAAAACACCCCCATTCCAAGGGGTAGCCATTAGCGTGTGTTTTCCCTCCTCTTCAAGGGCATACAGAACTTCCAGCCCACTCTTAACTGCATGAACTGTGGGGCCTAGGCACACAAATCAAGAACAATAAATCTTTTACAGACTCAATGGTCAAAAGGCTATGACACCAAATCCGACGAGCAATGTAACTGGCATGGGCAGTTGAAATTCAAGTCGTTCATTTACTCTTTATTTTTCAAATGTTATTATGGTTGAACACTAACAAGCTCTGTGTCTGGTTCCAAACCACTCTTCTGCTAAACGAAACAGGTTTGGTCGCACTGCTTAGCTAGAGAGCAAGACTTTACCTACCAGAAGGTGGAGTTGTGGGAATGTGGGAGGGACCGGAAAAGATTACTGTAACGAAATTTTAGAGAGCACACAGAGTCTGTGCTGGGGCTTTCCATGGAAATTCTAGTCACGTTAATTCTAGCTAAGATCTGCAGCTATTTCAGGAAGCTTTAAAAGCAGCCAGGGAGTGACGTCTTACTCTTTTATTCATAGACAACAACTCTATTCCCAAGGGATGAAATTCAACCCAGCGCAGAAGGCTCACGTGCTAGCCTTTACTCCACTGAAGACTGGGCTCAACAGGCAATGAAAGAAAGCCTGCTGGTGGTCTACAATGGGACGTGTTACCATTTACAGAAAGTTTCGACTGAAAATTAACTACTTTTGCTCAGCTGCAATGATCCTCAGGACAAAAAAAAAAAGAAAATCAAAGGCCACATCAAGGGAAGAAACTGGTTTGTTAAGTTAGGTAGCCAGAATGCAGGAGGCTATCCTCTCAAACTGCAGCCTTAACAAATTATCCTTGCATAGCACGACTGCTTTTCTCTCTCAGACATCGTGTTGTGTCCTGAAAACCCAGTGCTCTTGAAACTCTACTCACTGTGCATTTGTCTTCCCAGCAGAAAACTGAATTCCCACAGCAGCTTTGCTTTTGTTTTAAATGGAGGTGAGACAAAAGTGAGACCTATTTATTGGGTGTCTTGGTGAAAACACATGCCAATAAATAAGAAATTTTTCAAAGGAGAAGAACAGGGGCTAACCTCTGCTATACTACATATATTTCTGCAGCTATTTAGGGATCTTCAAGTAAAAAAGATTCTGAATGTTAACATTTTTAATTACTATTGTTTGTACTAAAGTACTGTTTCAAGCCCTAAAAGGGTGTACTGTGGGAAGAACTATACAGAAAGTCCTAAAAAACCAACAGAACCTTTCCTAAACTGACAGTTAATTGAGCTTAAAACCAAAATGGTTTGTTTTCCAAAGGTTAAACAATAATAAAAAGTAATAACATAACTTACCAAAGAAAGAAGTCAAAGAAAAGTAAATCAGGTGACAGTGGTTATAGGCCTCAATCCTAACATCTTTCCAGATTCCTTGAGTAGGAAAAGAAGGGCCCCAGTCCCAACTAAATGAACACTGCTCCTGGAATACAGAATGATTTTGTTACAATTGCCTATTTTTCGTACAGACACTGATGCTGTGCCAGAAATAAAAATTATTCGTTATCTAGAAATAAAATATTGCCATGCACTAAAAGCATTTTTCCAATTTTGATAAACCTAGAGGAGCCTACAATACTTTTCCTTATTTCTTGACCAGAACTCTGCTGCTACTACCTATATAAAAAATACAATTTTTTATTAAACATCTATATACAGCAAAATTTTATATTAGTCAGAAAGAAAAACAGAACCTAGCCCACCACTTACAAAAAAAACAGTAAAAATCAAAAAAAAACCAAGCCAGGAGGTTACTCTCAGTTCAGCTCTGAATTGTCTTAAGTTTGTAATGTCAGTATTTAATTGTATACCTGAAAGACAAAGTAAGCAGAAAACAGAGTTACAAATGTTAAAGTATTCTAAAAGAACGATATCAAACTTTATATTGTGGGTATATCTGAAATACTTTATCCCCTGTTTCTTGTTGTAACACCGCAGATTAATACAGGGAAAGACATGCATATGTCTGCTGTATTTGTGTATTTCAGTCATGTTCACTGTTTCTGCCCTTTTTATGGTTCCCTTGTTCAAAAACAAAGGGAACAAAAATATGGTTGAGAAACAGCTTAGTTCTGGTTCCAACATCAGAATAACTGTCAGAATTATAAAACCCGAGTCAGGGAGAGAAGTACCTACGCTGCTTTCCATTTAGCTATTTTCAAACCTGGTCAGACCTCTAGTTAACGAATCCCTTGAAGACATCTATTCAGCTGCTCTCCAAGCTTCACAGAGCCCCAGCCCCCAAAGCAAATACAACAGATCTCCTTAAAGTCTTGTACAGTGACCTACAGTTCTAAATTTAGAGACTAATAAATTACAGCATGGGCATACTAATTTTGGCAAACCACACTGCACAAGCCTGGCCTATCCCTTGCATCGCTGGAGTCAGCCTGCCTGCCTATCGGGTTGCAAAAGAGCCTTCCAGGAACCAAGCACTGTACCTATTTCAAGTGTAAAAACATGGACAACACTTCTTAGAAAACAAGTCAGATTGACAGTAATTTTCCCATTATAAAAAAATATACTAACTACTCACTGACAGACCCTCAGACTGTCAGATTTCACTGATAATACTGCAGAGACCACTATCAGAAATAGTGTGTCATAAGAACGATACGCTTGTATCACTGAAGTACATGAACACTGTAAGGCTTGCGTTTCACCACAAATCCCTATTAATGTATTATTAGATACATTTACTGCACTTAATACTGAGCCTCAAATGTGTAAACAGTTTCCCGTTACTGTAAGATGGGAAGCAGTCAGCTTCCTTTAGCAATGTCCTAGTATGTTTGTTTACTTTTAAAAGTGAAATCACTGCTGTTGTTGCCATATATATGGAACTAAAAACGCTTCTGGAAATGTCTGGAGCAGCTTCCAAGTACAACTTCCAAACAACTCCTTTGAGGAAAAGCACTAAGGTACTTACAATTTTAGAAGCATAGTTCAGAAAGCATAAAAACATCCCTGGTCATTTTTGCTCTATAAATAAGCCTAGAGCTATTTAAGTGCCTTCTTCCTTCCAAGCTCCCCCCTGCACTGATTTCTAAGAAACACAGTGGACTTGGAAATATTGATCACTTTCTAAAATGTAGTGAAAACAGAAGTAGTAATAAAGATAACATTTTAATCTCTAAGGATCTTTGCAGGTCAACTTGGAATCCATCCAAAATTTAAAGGAAATCCTATCCAGGTTTAGATTAACATGATTTCAGTCATTTTTTTGCTGAGGCTTTGAAAGCACTTAATTGGAAAGATTAAAAATAATTAAGAAGAAAGGTATTTAAGTGGAGAAAAATATGTAAAAACACACAAAAAGAGAAATTCCAAAATAAGATCACCCAGCCATTGTCTCTGGCTGGTGCAAAGCTATCAGAAATATATGAAAAGCTGCTCACATGATGGTTTGCCTTGAGTAAGTTTTAACAGCAATGAAACCACATCTCAAATCAGAGTTTCTGAGCTTCATTCATTGTGTGTGACACAGTTCTCACTGAATATGTACCTATAAGTCACACTGCACAGTGAACAGGTCCTCTGTTAAGTAACATTTCTTGGGACGTGCCAGAGCTGCCCAGTATAAATAGCACAGTACATGAGCAATACTAAGCACTCACAAAGCTGCTGGGCTGAGATTTTTACAGCTTTGGCAATATATGCTGGTATTTGCAACAGTGAACTCTATCGTCAGCATACATTGCTAAACCCACTCAGCGGATGAAAAAGCAATGGTTACATGTTTCCCAATGCTATCCTGCTCTCTTAGCAGCGAGTCTCCTTGCTGGCTCCTTGATGAAAACAACTTTTTAAACTTTCTTACCACCTAGATATGAAGCTTGGCCTTCTTATGCCCCTTGTATTGTCAACATGCTAGATCACAGGTTCCTAGGGGGCCACGAGAAGCAATGAAAACTATGCCCTACTTATAAAATGACACTGCAGGTTTCAGAATACATCTGTAAGGATAGCACATGGTGCATTGCTCTTTCCAAGCCTGAAGTCAGAGACAGATAATTCTGCCCCTACCTTTCTGATGAAATTAGCATGGCACTCTCCTTTCTGCACAGGTGGAGGGCATGCCGGGGGTATGCTGTATGCTTTGTGACATCTGCTCTGCTCTGCGGCATATGAAATGGCTGATAAGAAACGGACTTCAACAAAATTGACCTCCTTGATCACGCTGGTAATATCAAAGCTCTAGGTCAAGAAAACAGCACAAAATCATTACAGCACTGACATTTATTTATGAGATTTATAATCGCCATTATATTGGGATTTTAATACCACACATATATTATTCAAAGGCTTCAGTCTCAGCAGGCTTTGGTTTTGAAGGAAAAGAAAAACTACTTCTTCAGTCGAAAAAAGGAAATACACAGTAATATTCCAGATACGAGGTCGTCTGGGCAACCTGTTTTCCCCATAGTGAGCCCCCACTGCAGGCTGCAGCACTCTGTTTCCACACTGAAGTGCTTGAAGGACAGCTAGAGAATTTTTACCCTCTTTTCTCACTCAGAATTTATCTGCATCTTTAGAAAGAAACCTTATTCCAACCCAGAAAGCTGACCCATACAGGACTTCTTCCAATTCCCTCTCTGCCACCATCTTATCTACCACAAACCATTGAGGTGCCTTTCGCACGAATGCTGCAAAGCTGTATTTCACGCCACCTGCTCTCTCACTTCTAAAATGTACAGAGGCACACTCTGCACCAGCAGCAGCAAATGAAGTATTTGAGTGCTTCCTCATCAGCTTACAAAATCCCCCTCAGTATGGCTGGGTAGAAGGATAAATGTTCAGCTTCAAAATTATCCTGTGCTATCAAGATAATATGAATCCAATGGCCAATACTCATTTTTTCCTCACAGTGTTCATTTGTGACAAGCCAAGTCCTGGCAATTTTTTCCAACTTGTGAGCAGTCCAGCCAGCATGATTTAAGTCTGTAGCATCTCTCACACAGCCTTCACAGAGTCTTTCCTGGGGACATCATTGCCATGTGGAACAGGTGAATAAAGCAGAAGTCTGGGTCACAGTAATCCTAAACTCAATTTAATACAGTACAGTGAAGGCCATGTCATGAACTTTTACGATCTGAGACAGAATGAAATTGCAGAAACAAGGGCAAAATAATATCTCTTTCCAATTCTACAGAGACTGCTACTGGCAATTCTTTAGATACTCTCCAAATAGTAAATAATTACAATTTCATAAAGGCTCTATGAAATTTCTTATTTCACTGATGGTAAAACTAAGGCACAGAGAAACTAAGTGATTTGTCCCAAGTTACACAGACCCAGGTGGCAGAATCTAGCTTTCATGTCTGAGGTCACCACTTCTGCAATAAAACCTGCTGGAATGGTAAACACTAAGACATGAAGACATGAGATTTTCTTTGTAATTCAGTTATTCTACTAACATTTCTCTTTTAACTTTTCCTTTTATCATTATTTTCAGAAGAAAAGGATTGTTCCTTATGCTAGTACCCATAAGAATTTTATATTTTAAAGCTATAAGATTAGTTTGAATGTTTTTGCTACACCATTCCATGATGAGTACCGACACAGGCTAAGCTCAAAAATGCAAGACAGTATTATCAAACCCCCAATATTAAAAATCAAAAACCCTGTATAAAAAAAAGCATAGAGACACGGACTTTACAGCATGTGGATTTTCATTTCAGTATTCACATGTAAACCATTCTAATACCAATTAGTAAGCAGATTTACAGCTAATATAACAGATTTAAGCTTACGTTTTCTTGGAGCTGTGACAGATCCCAAGAAGCAAGACTTAGCTGAATTGATCCTCTTGCATGAGTCCACTCATTTAGAACAAGACACGTTCACCTCTAGAATTGACCCTGCTGCTATTGAAACAGTAAGTACACTTCTCTTTCTAATAGTTATCTAATTACACATGCGGTCCTCAGGTCAACACTGTGTGTGTTCAAGGACCTATTTTTACGTGAAAAGTGCTCAGCACAAAAGGACTTTGAAGAAAAAACAGAAGCACCTTCAGAAATAAACACATTACTTACATATCTGTTGAACATGTTGTCTGTTTTTCCAAGACTGATGTTGTTGATCAGGATCTGTGCTACTGTATCTACTCCATCGAAAACCAAATTCACTTTCTGCCACTTTCTACAGAAGATCACATATGAATTTAAAAAAAAATCCTGTTAGAATACTTAAGAGTTAACAACACACAGGAGACAGACAATATAAAAATGTATGTCACCATTATGTTTAGCAGCAGTTGTCTCAACTACCTCCAAAAATGTCTGACTCGGTGGGGCTACATTATATCTTTAAATAGCCAATTAAGTTGACAGCTGAAGTGGCTTGAGTCTGCAACACAGTATGTTCACATACTCACCAGATATCAGATGGGCTAGCTTCCAGTTAGCCTAAGTATTATCCTTCCTTAGTTGCCAATTTATAAGTCATTTTTAACTCTTTAAAAAAAAATAGAAAAAAGCAACTACTGAAGTGTTCTTTAACAGTTTTGCAGCTGCACACTTTTGCACAATTTGTTTTATCAGATACAAAAGTACTGAGTAGATTTTGAGCTGATGGATTAACTAGCAATTCTGGGTGAAAGATGGCATAGAACTATTTTAGACATATCTTTACTGCATACCTGATGCCAAAAGGCGTTTTGAACGTCCGGCTGTAAGTCCAGTTATCCAGAGAGATCCATCTGTACGTCAAGTCATTAAATCTATAATATGGATCCTAATAACAGACCAACAAAAAGAAAATGACAAGACTTACTTAATAAAAGTGTTACTACATGAAATGAATCATAATATCCATTAATAAGCATTTATTTCAGACAGACTGCAAATGCAAAATCTATCTTATTTAGTTAGTCCTGATATTCTTTTTCACCTTTGAAATAATATGCAAAAGCAAAGCTTTGTTATTATTTTACCTTATTTATATAGGTGAAAACCTGTTGTAATCATTCATACTCAAACTGGAGGGAATAAGATTTGTTTTTACATAAGAAATGACTGGGCTGGAAATTCAATAAAAATCTAGACAGCTTGTGACTTAATGAGAGGAACAGAAACATGATCACCCTCATAATGATGGAGAAAGTAAGACTAATAGGATTTTAAGAGGTAAAGAAACAGTGTTTTGGGCCTCTAGAGACAGCAGTGAACAAATCTCTACAGTTTAAAGTAATTGCAAATAGCCCCGTTGTTTCTTGTCAACTAGTCTTGATGTGGCAAAGCTAAATGAATTGTTATATTTGGAGGAAGAGGGAGAGAAGAATGTGAAGCAACACAATTTGGTTTGTTGCATAAAATTAAATGACTACTTTTGAGAATAATGCTGCATTTATACTGAATGTGTTCTTTTCCCTTCAGTCACACTACCCAGGAAGAATAAAAGGCGCAGTCAGTCTAAACTATGTCTTTGACCTTTTTTGGCTTCCTGGTGGGTCACAATGTTCCTCACGTAGGCTGAAGGAATCGGTTACGTGGACCCAACAACCCATCACCTTGCATCTTACACAAAGGCAGCAGAAAGGCAAAGTGTTACACCCTTGTGTCAGACAGCTGAGAGTGCAGGTACCCGGGTCAGTGAAGGACAGCTCTGCAGCAGCCGCACAGCCCAACTCCTTTCCCTAAACAAAGACCAATGTCTCCTGGACTACATGACGCAAACACAGCCAAGAGAAAGCATAGCTGCATTAAGGTTCACTTTCATACAAGTGTTCTACAGTACCAGCCCAGCTAACTAGCTACCCTGAATACCTAGATTCACAACAAAGAAAGTCTATCCAACTTTTTTTTTTCCTTCTTCTTCCTACTGAAGCTCGATTTTTCTCCCCATTTCAGGAGCCAGTACAGATAGTAATGACACTTTTGGATTTGAAACCTTCTGAAAAACATTGTTTTTCATATCTCAGATTTATTTTACAACAAACGGGGTCAAGCTCTGCAATATAAACACAAACCTATTTACACAGCAGAGCAAAATCATGACATCTAAGTGACTGTCCTCAGCAGCATAATCCCGTCTGGAGTCCCAGAGCAATATAAACATCACTCCTTGAGCCCACACAGAGGGAACGTTGTCACCTATGCTCCATCAGTCAAATTCCTTACTATAAGGGAATAAGAGTCAAGAAGTACAGGTCCTGTCACCTCAGTAAAACTGTGGTAATACCGTGTATTTTCTAAAAATTAAGTTATCACGAGATCATCAGAACAGTTACTGAATTTTAAGATATCCATTCCATTACTTCTATATGCTATATGTTTTGAGGAATTTAGCTCAAGCTTTAAGATGCAAAATTTACAGCTAATAAATGCATATTAAAATACAGAAAAGAAACTCCATTAAGATTACTGTATTGAGACAAGAAAAGACAAGCGTCAAAAGTCAGGAACCATGAAAATCCACAATATATCCTCAAAAAGTACAGTTTTAACAACTGTCTTGCTTTAACATTATATACTATTTTATTTTAAGCTATGCTTAGAAAAATGTGCATGTTAAATTTCAACCATTGCCACTTGCATGTGTGAAATATTTAACAAAAGGCGTATGATGCAAGTTGTAAATGCACTATCAACAGCAGACTGTAAAGCCCAAACCAGTTTGGTTAGCGGTCAAACAACCAACATCAGTGCCTCATCAAAGATCAAGACACTGCATAAAAGAAACCCGCGCTGTTCATCCCACAAAAGCATGCATACCGAGATGCTAATGAAGAAAGACGTGAGGTCTAGAGAACACAAAACTGCTTGTGTAGCAGCAGAGAGAAATGTAGGAATGTTTCATCAGAGGCAAAAATTACATCAGCAGATGGGCTCTTACAGCAGTTTACAGAGCTGCTTGTTAAAATCTCTTCAGAGCATACCGCAGATCCTTTTTCCTGAAGGGGCTTTCTTCTTCTGTACTAGCCTAAAGCCTTCAAACTTCAAGAAATGCATTGACTGATAAAAGATGTGCCACAGAGGGTGCTAATTAGGCCCTTCTGATGAATACTGTTTCTTCCTCACAGGCGTGCAACTTTCTAGATGGGAAGCTCCTAGTTCTATGTACCTTTATATAAAACTTAACAGCTCACTGATATCATTGCTACACAACTAGTAAAACAGCCTATATATCACATAGAAAAGCTGTTACAAGCTAATATTGGATAGTAATTTTAAGCATGACAAATGTTGCTTGTCGTAAAATTAGTCATGTGGCAATGTTCAAGCAATGCTTTTAAGGCAGTTCTCAAGGTTCAGGAAAAATACATGACCACAACAAAGTTCTGTAAGAAAGGAAAATGACTTCTCCAATATGCTTGTGAGATTACTGATTTTTTCATTACTAAATGTAACTGTTTTGAGTGCTGGAAGATGTACCTATAGAAGTCAAATTGTTTGGACTTATTGGAAACAGAATTTCATCCCACACTAAGTCAGCTCACATTAAAATTAAAGGTCTATTTCAGAAAACTGGAAGAAAAAAAGACAAATTTAAAACTCTTAAGGGCACTGGGAGAATTTGAAAGATGGTCTAGGAAATAGACCGCACATGTATTAAATATACTTCACATTCATTAGCTCATCATGGTCCTGGAAGCAAATCATAGAGGGGTGGAGTCAATTATAGGTATTTTTCAATCCCACCAAACACCAGCCTTGCATTTTCCTGCTCCCTGCAAACTGGGGAAAAATTCTGAACCACTCAAGCTCCCTGCTGTTTGTTCTCTGCTCCCAATTTCAATGCTGTAAGCAAGCAGCAAATCACCTGCTTAGATGAGGTAAAAAGCCCTGCTACAGAGGATGAGAAGGAAGCAATTTCCAGTCTGTATAACGAGACATCAGTAGGACTTCAAAAGCACTGGCAGCACTAAACTGAAGGCACTGCCAAGCAGCTAGATGGCAACTCCCTCTTGCAATGATTTTGAGGGGATATTCAAAAGGTACAGTCATATAAGCTATGAGCTTCCTATGTGAAGCAGGAAACAGATGAGACAGGAACCCACCAGAAGTGAGGCTCAAAGTGCAAGTAAGCGAGCTGTGCCAGGGAAGCCCTGGCCCCGGGAAGGGCCAGCTTCAGGGCCCCTTGCAACCAGGAGTCCAGGGGAGCACGGCACAAACACCTGAGTGACACTGGACCCAGGCAGTAGATCAGCGCATAATAACATGAAATGTAATAAAGGGAACAAAATCCAGATTCCTTTGTCTATCCTGCTTTTGTTAGGATCTGATCTGAAACTGCCTCACATGCCTTTCACTCTTAAATCAACTCTGTTGATATTTTACAATGCACACCATAAGAAGATCCGGCTGATCTAACAGATTACCAAAACAAATCTTGCAGGTGATGTTTCATGATTTACACAGTTTAATGATTATGCTGTTGCCAATTTCAGGCTGGAAGCTAAATAGTTAAGACAGTTATCTATATCCACGAACTCCTTGATGTCAAGTGATAGCCATCAGGACAGTTATACAATTTTCAGTACGTCCAGTTTTATATATTTATAGATTTACAGCTTGCAGTCAAGCTGGACTAAAAGTAGTGATGAACGGATCATATTCTTGGAAGATGAGTTTTGGAAGTTCATCCTAAATTAATTTATTTTCAGTAGCTGCTTTAACAAAGAAGTAAGCTGAATGTCACCTTATGCTCAAGATGTGAACACTGAGGCAAATGCTACTAAAGAGTTAATTAACAAGATATGAATACCCATTGTTTAATATTCTTTGAATACTCTGCTGTGTTTAACAGGCTACTATAATATTTATCTATTTTAACTTCATAAGCTTTAAAAAAATTAAATTGAGTGCCCTTTAATATTCTTTCAAAGTTTCACTAAGGCTTCTGAATGCTTCCACAAACGTTCACACAACTCAGCAGAACACGTTTCAGCTGAACATAATATATTTAATGAACTATTTCATCAGTTAACGCCATCTAACCTGTTAGAAACACACAATACCCAATGCAACTGTTACCTGGCTTGCTCTGAAAAACGCAAGTTATGATGAAGCATCATAAAATACACCATAGCATACTTTATACAAATGCAGAACAAGCTACAAAAAATACATACTACTTCCCAGAACTGCAGAAATATCACAAGAGATACATAAACTTCTGTCTCTTCTAATATATTCTAATATCCAAGTATGACCAAGACCACTGAAACCTTGTGTCAAGTGCATACCCTTGGTCAGAAACTGCAGTGCTACCTAGCCCCTACATTAGCCATCACAGTTGCAGACCCCTCATAATAGTTCTTTACAAATCAAAGTGACAGCTAGTAAGACAAAACAGCCTTTCTGTAGGAATGCAAACGGCTGGCAGATGAGAAAATCGAGCTACAATAGCCATATTCATCAGAACTGAAATTTTATAGGAGTCACCTGCCATCGGAAATGGCATCATGCAGTACTTGGACAGTACAGACTCTTCCTAGAACAAAGATTTCACGCACAAGTTACTCATTGGTGCATATTGCTTATCAGAACTGTGTCTGAAAGACAACATTACACTGACAGTAATTAAAACTAAATCTTCATAAAAAATGGTTTTTGCAGATTTTCTTTTTTCAGGGATTTAATGTTAGCAACAGGTCTGATGGAAGTTTATAAAACATCTGTGCTTATGTCCAAGCTTTCCACTAACTTTATTCAAGTGAGTATTACCTTCGTTTATGTGCATTTCTTGTATCTTTAAAAAAAAAAATCCATATAAATAGTAATAAGAGCTGT